GACCAGGTGTCCATGGAAATTTTCAAAATTTGCAATTTTTCAGTCACTCTCATTGAACTGGAAAAATTTCTGTCTTTATTATTGATACATCTAATATTACGAAGAAATCAATCCCCGCAAGAGATTGGTTGTGTTAAGTTGTTTAAGTAAAATTCCGGTTCTTTAGGCAGAGTTTTATTTATGTCCCTAATTCCCTAATCCCTTAATTATGTTAACTACTGTACTTCTTAACATTGTACAAGAATTGTACAGGTCTTTTTCTGCATCCCCTTATAGATGGGACATACTGAATCGCAATATCACTAGTTTAACATTGAAATCTGCAAGTAATACAAGATGGGAGAGCAAAATAAAAATGTCAAATATTTTAATTGATTTTTTAAAACTCCTGTCAACTATACAAAACTATCATAAAAACATAACCCAAACCATATCAATTTACTGGTAAGTTATAAATCTACTCTCGATTCATATAATGGGGCGAGGGTAGCCAAATAACTAGCACGCAGGCGGCTAACAGCCTAGAACCGGTCCTTGATAGAATCATTGGAAGCGTTATACGATATTTTGGTGTGTAGCTTCCACCAGCTAAACCGCGTGAGATTGGTGCTCTGTAAAGTGCATGCGCGAATGGCCTATAATCTGGCTGCTTTACACTATTCAAATATTTTCGCCGTGGAAACTGTCCCCAATTCAAATATCAGTGGCAAATATCAATTCAAATATCAGTGGCGGATGGAAGCGCTGTATTCGATAATACAGCGCTTCCATCCGCCACTGATATTCGAATATACAATAGCAATTTTATCGTTTTTTTCACATGTAGTATAGAAATTTGTAATAAGATATATTATGCGATTATAATGAATTAATTAAAATTTATATTTTAAAGTACGTTCAAATATAAAGATAATCGCACAATATGTATTTATATTTTACAAAATACAAGGGAAGCGGCGCTTCCACCGCTTCCAAGGATGGCACGCCACTGCTGATAGTTGAAGAAAATCTCGTTGGATTAAATACATTTTGCTTTTTTACAGTGGCGTAGCGTAGTGGGGGCGGCACTTTTTAGGGGCGACAAAATTTTACAGTAAATAATAATAATATCTTGTAAAAATTTGAACCATTCTATTCTATATTTGCGTCGCGTTTACGATAGTGCTATCATCCGGACAGTCCGGGAATTGACTCACCGTCTGGGTGAACTAGTAATTTCATCTCGGGAAATCCTGCGCTACCTGTTGACCTATTTTATTTTATTTTTTTCTTTGCTTGTACGATTCATTCGTATTCATATACACCTCCAATATCCAATAGAGCTACAATATTTTAAACAGGTCGCTGCACTAGCACGGAATTTTTCATTGCTTATTCTGTGACGAAACTGAATTTTAGTCTTTTAAATTGAGATACCTAAATAAGGGGGGCGAAATTTTCATCCGCCCCGGGCGGCTGACACCCACGCTACGCCACTGCTTTTTTATCTGTCAGGATCGAAAGCAACAGAATATGTAGTACAGTAAGACTCCGCTTAACGCAGGGGATGCGTTCCTAGACAACGAAGCGCTAAGCGAGGTCATTTTAACATAGAGTAAATAGGGATAGGGGAACACGCGACCAAAAATAAATAAATTTTACTTTAATTTTAAGTTATTTTTATATTAATTTGTATAATGTATGTTAAATAACACACAAACATATGCACACAGAAATGTAAAGTTCATTCTTTGTGACGAAGGTCCAAGCTCTTCTGAAATTCGTGTTTTTTGTGATAAAGTCGTGTAGTTTCATCTGTTGCTTTATTTCTTTTGTTAAGCAAATGTTGGTAGCAGGAGATCGTATCCAAAATGCGTCGTCTTTCTTCTGCACTCCTTTCAAAATCTGAATCATTTACTACAATTTGATTAATGATTTCAGTTATTGTTAGCAAACTTTTACTAAGGAAATCTATAGTGAAATTCTTTGGGTTCTTTGTTTTCAGAATCTGTTTTCAGTTCTGCATGAATTCCTTGTTCTGCCAGTTCTTGAAGGTCGTCTTTGGTAAGACTTTCACCAGAAACATACAGTAACTCCTCAATATTCTGCTCGTCTATATCTCCTAGTCCTGCTATATCGATTAGGTTGAGTTTGGTCAACCTAACGATACAGCGATAGGCTTTTCTCATTGAGAATTCTTGAATACTTTCAGCCATAACTTCTTCCACACTTCGTTCGTGCATTTATCGGTTAATTCTTGCCAAGCGAAGTCGATATTGCCTATGGTATCCAAGATGTAATACTTTTTTCCAAAATTGCACTGAACAAACATAGGTTTAAAGAAAGTACATATTTTTGCCAACTTTTGCTGATTGGTTTGTGTTCGCAAATAATCGTATTATATATGAATTAATATAATGCCGCGATAATTTAAATTGGCGTAAATTTTGAGCCTTTTTTTTTAGGCTTCGAGCAGACTGCGTTATATCGAATCAGTGTTAAGCGAAGTAGTGCCAAGGCCACTTGATCGCTTCGCTAGTAGCACTAGCGAAGCGATCAAGTGGCCTTGGTAGTGCTAAGCGGGTCTTACTGTACATATATTTTTATGTATTATGTGTAAACATATATATTATGTATTTTATCTTTAGTTTGCTGTTTTGGGGCCCTGGATCGATTCCAGCCTATGACTGCCTTAATTTTTCACGCGGTCTCTAGGACTTTATTTGAAGATAAGGCAGCTACCGCGGCAATCTGCCAAGTGTTCCGCCGCTGAAGTGGATGAATCTGCCTGAGTGGTCAAGGTAACAGATAGATCTGTCACCACCTGTCACCTTCCGACCGGTAAAATGGTTCTTCATTTTGTCGGGGTCAGCCAGGTCTCTTCAGTGCTGGAATTTGTAGATTGTATGAAAAAAGTCGAGTAGAGATTTACATAAGTGAAACATACAGTAGTAAGACATTACGGTGGTAATGCTAGAAGAGATTGGGGTCTAAACTCTGGAGCCCTTTCCATCATATATGATTGCATCTATGTCCCTATCGTCGCTTATGCTTGCGGCACCTGGGGCTGGGCCATCGCAAAAGTACACGCGAAAAGGAAATTAGTGTCCTCTCAAAGACGGGCACTATTTCTTATTACAAAGGCCTTCCGCACGACCAGTAATCACAGCCTGCAGGTGATTGCCCGTAAACTCCCCATCGACTTAGATATTCAAAGAAAGCAAAAAATGAAACAAATCAAATGGGGCAAGACTATCCAAGCCGGCTCTACGACATTTACACATAATGATATTGAATGGCCCCTTCCCTATTGTGACTCAACATTTCCAGGCAACCCTATTGTTAACATCTCTGAGAACATCACCACTGCAGATATGGACATTTACACGGATGGTTCTAAGCTTGACGGTGAAGTGGGCTGCAGCTTTGTTGCCTATACAGGGTGCATCGAGACTTACAATCAGAAATATCGTCTTGACAAAAACTGCAGTGTCTTTCAAGCAGAGCTACTGGCTATCCAGATGGCCATTGACTGGATTAATGATAACTTCTACAATATAGTAGTACACATCTATACTGACTCGATGTCTGCCTGCAACATCATCCACAGCATGAAACCGCACCCTGTTGCAGAGAATATTAGAAATAAAATCAATGCCTCTAGCTGCACCTTTGGTGTGTATTGGACTAGATCCCACCAAGGAACTCCCGGTAACGAGAGAGCAGACTCTCTCGCTAAAGCCGCTGCACTTGACCCCACCATCAGCATCTCTTACCGCAAGCTTAGTCGTAACACCCTTCGGACCATTCTCTGGGAAGAAGCAGTCAACATCTGGCAAACCACCTGGAATCAGAACAACCACTGCATCACTCACAACTTTATTCCGAACCTACGTGACTTCCTAAGTTTGGACTGGTATACGCCGGATTACCATATCTCTCAACTACTTACTAACCATGGAAAATTCGCGAGCTACCTATACCGGTTTGCTCACAGAACTTCCAATCATTGCCCTACATGTCTCGTTGAAGATGGCACCAAGCACTACCTTTACGATTGTGTTATGATGGACAGTGAGAGAACTGAACTCCGTCTGTTACTTTATGAGATTGGCATTGAATGGCCATGCCAGCCTAAAGACATTTGGACTAACCGTGAAATCTTCTCCTCTTTCAAAAGACTCACTAGGAAAATAACCCATGTCACGCACCAAATTATCAACTGCTAACATGTATTACTAATCTACTTGTAATAATTGTTTATTCCTAAATTCTACTAAAGTATCGTGTATTGTACTATTTCCTATTTCCTACTGTAAATAATTGCCATGATATGTATTGTACTGCTCGCAATCCTTATGATGTATCTGTACTCTAATTGTCGCGAAACAAACCTTATATGTATTAATACTAACTATTATAATGTATTGTAAAATGACCTCACGTACATATTGTATACTTCCTCCCTTGTAATGCTTACTGCGGGGCCAGGGCATGTACATTCTTTATTTGTGCCTTAATAAATTGATTGATTGATTGATTGATTAAAATTACGGTGGTAATCTCACTTGAGGATTAAAAAATAAAAATTAAAGAAACTTGTAAAAAAGGAACATTATTGGTTTTTTTAAACTCTTTTTGCAAACCCATTATGAATTCGGCCAGGTAAGGGACGGGGCCAGACATATCCGAACGGAAAGATTATTGGGTTTGAAAATAATATTTAAAAGATAGAAAACTTGAAATAATGATATAATTGATATAAAATGGAAGAATAAAAATAGTTAAGTTGGACAGTTAATTCCATATAGATGAAAAACCGTTATTATGATTACTAGTATAAATAATAATTTTGATAAATTTAAGAAATTAATTATCAATGTAAAATTCTTTAAATTAACCATAAATTATTACATTTTAAATTATTTCTGATAATTAAAAAACTAATTAATTACATTTGAGAATAAAAATATATATGTTATAAAAAAAAATTAACTAAATTTTGTCGTTTAAAGTTCAAGCGCCATCTTACATAGACCACGCGAGGAACGGGAAGAGACGAGAAGTCAACGTACGTTTGAAAGTTAGGCAGACGAGGATTTTACAAAATAATTCGCAAAATGGCTAGCGTGTCTTATCACATCGCCAATTTGCTGGAAAAGGTAAATGTGATAACATTCATTTTTTGTTATGTCATTTTTTTATTTATCTAATCTTTCAATCTGTAATTCGAATTCGGTTTTTAATGTGGAAAATTCGTCTGCCTACGATCGTATTCAACAAATTGCCGAATAAGTTTCGTATTCATTCTCTATGATCAAAAGAAATAATAACGTCACAGATCGAAAGAAGAAACAACCTTTAATTATTATAATTACTTTTTGCACATATCTAATACGTATATAAAAAATAAACATAAGTATTTTATTACGTGCTATTACTCGTGTTGTTATTTGAGGGCTAAGAGAACACACGTGTTTTGTATAGGTATGATTAGTTCAAAAATAAACGTCGTCAACATAATAATTCATTTTTCTTAGCTCAGATACTTTTAATATATGCAATATATAAATCTCTGTGAAGTATACACAATAAAAATCTAAATTTTCTTAGAATAATTTTTAGAAAAGACATAAAGAACAGACCAAGTAAAACTCTAAAATACTTAAATTTACATACAAATGCTCATAAAAAATCTAACTTCTTGTTTGAAAAACATAATTATATGAAATAGAATCCTTAGATTTTAAAATCTCTTTTCTCATCATCTCATCTAAATAAATCAAATGCAACATAGAGAGAAAAATTTGTTTAATTGATAAAATTATTTTCATGCAAATACTCATTACAGAATTTTTTTTTTCAATTGCATAATAGAAAAAGTTTTCTAAAGGATATTATTTATCTTTTGTTAAGAGATTATGAAATAATAGCCAAATAGAATTATTTTATATCTGTTTGATTTAAAAATTATTAAATCTTTAATTTTTTTTTTTAAATCTCTCCTCATGATAAGTTTTGGTTTTGCAAATGAGTTCATCACATGAATTGCTTATATAAATGTGTTTATCCTGTTTTAATATATGTATAATGTATGTAAAATATTGTTATGCATTGTCTTTTCAAGCTAAATTTATATTAAATTTTTTTGAAATACTATACTATACATTCAGACTATACTAAAGTTTTATTGCATTCTGCTAATAGATCTGTGATTAATTCATTGAACTGACAATGATTGTTATGAAAGTATAACAATAACAAGCTATTTTTCAAGATACAACAATGATAACAAGACCTATGCACAGAATTTTTAAAACAAACACATTTTTTTTTTATAAGAGTGTTATTAACTTTTACAATGTAGGTAGACAACTTTTACAATACAGAGTAACATAATACAGTAGACCAGTGGTTGTCAACCTTTCTGAGGCTGTGGAACACCATTCAAATACTACTTATTGCACAGAGCATTAGCATTAATTTATTCAAAAGTCAATAAGCAATTTCATTTTTGCTATTCTCAGGAAACAAATGAAGAAGTAAACTAATAAACTTTTTGTATTGAATAAAATAATAAATATGGAATTATAGAATTGTCTACAAATAAAATAATATGTTGTACAGTACGTTGGGATAAATTGGCAATAAAAACTTCAAAGTATTTTTTTTCCATGGAACACTTGAGGTAAGTTTGTGAAACACCAGTTAAGAGACACTGCAGTAGACTGAGAAGGAACTGAATGGATACAGAATAAGTTATCTATCATAGGTAGATAACTTATCCTGTACCCATTCAGTTCCCTGGTACCTACCATAGATAATTTATTCTATACCCATTCAGTTTCTTCTCAGTCTGCTGCAATGTCTCTTAACTGAATTTAATTTTAAATTCTTACCAAAATCTCCATGTGTGCTCCCTTAAAGATAGTTTTAAAAAATAGATATTACTATAATATCAATAAATTATTTTAAAGTATTGATTTCTTCTATATATATAGTTTTTGAAGTAACTTTGTTAACACTTTAAAGGTGGCCCATTAAATAGGTCAAAAATGCTAAATGTTTCCATGTTATATACTGTTAAGGATTTATTACTTGCTTCATTGAAAATGTTTAGATTGATTTTCATAAAGTTACAGAATAGAATTCTTTGTAAGCTTTTATTTTTGATATTACAAAAGATACACTTTACCAAATTTTAAGAAATAAATCATTCTAAGATAAATAGAATTTTCCATATATAGTAGATCATAGAAGACATATATGAGATTCATATTATGAAAGTAACTTGTTCATTTTCAAATGCAGTCTTAATTCAAAATTGATTATTATAATTTTTTTTTTTTTTTTTTCTTTCTCCTCTAATTTCTATATATGAAAAATGAATTATAGACATGATAATTTATGAGCATTTGATATTGAAATCAGAACTACATACTTTTGAAAAAAAAAATGTATTGGATTTCAGTAATTATCAAACATAAGCTTAAATTGTCAGATTTAGTAATTAATTTGGATTTTCTGGTTATGTTGTGTATATCATATTAATACAGTCGACCCCCCCATAACACGGGTTCCTATAGTTCGGATTCCTATATCATGGCGAAAAAATTGCGACAGTACAGGTAACCCCCGTATAACACGGTAGTTACGTTCCAAAAAATTGCCGTGTTATACGAAACAAAGAACTAATACGAAAAGGAGGGTTAAGTTCCAAAAATTAAAAAACATGCTAGTATATTTTCATAATTAAGATAAATATCTTCATTAAAATTTTTTTAAGTGATACATATTAATATAAATTAAACAATGTTTTCTTCGTCATCACTAAAAACACTATTAATTAACCGAGAACGTTTTCTTTTTGGCAAGTTATCCTTACATAACCTCTGAGCATTTTTCTGCATTATCTTCAGATCCATGCTTTACCTTTTGCAAAATGTATGTAATTTTAGATCGCTTGCTTCTAGTTAAAAGGTCTTTATAAATTTCCTTATATAGTGCTAAGTACTTATGAAGAATAAAGCAAGTATGGAATAAGGGAAAAACATTCGGCAACATCAGAAGCAGAAGCGTCGCGATCTGGCAACATTGAAACAAGTTTCGAGAAGGACCACGTGTATCGACAGAAGGCGAGAAGAGAAAATTTACATATTTAAGTACTAATAGTTCACGAAAATAATAATTTTCGTGAGCTATTATTACTTAAGTATGTAAAAATTTATTACATTTCGTGTTGTACGAGGGTTTTACCCAATTCTCGAACCGTGTGAGAGTAAATATGTGCTATAAAAGTACCGTGTTATACGGGGGATGGTACCAATTCTTGAACCGTGTTAGAGTGAGTCCGTGCTATAGAAGTGCCGTGTTATACGGGGGTTACCTGTATTCATACAAACATGCTAAAAAAACTCCTATAATTTGGTAAAACGTCATTGCCGAATCGTGTTGCGACAGGATTGCACAAACCGTTGAGTTTAAACAAGTAGCGGACCTACTAAAAGCCATTTATTATTTAATGTCCATAAAAATTATATTTATATTAATTAATGATGTCTCCAAAGTTCAGCATATTTTTCGCAAAAAAAATAATTTATCAGGAAGCACGCAAGCGCCATTTGATGACAATCTCCACAATGAAAATAAGCTTAAGCAACGGCGTAGTTGAACGGTGCACACTCTGTAAGTAATCCTACAATTTTTTGTTTATAGCATAGTTTATATGGATTATTCCCAAAAAAATATACATGTTTTGGAAATGTTGAGTCAAATTAGTCTAGGAATCGATTAATTTTATGGAAGAAAACCTTTCAAACAGCTGTAGTCTGTAAACTGCATACATGCCGGGCTGTGATTGGCTGGACTCCTAGAAGCTGGATTCATAAAAACAGGAATGTATCTACCGTGTTATAGGGGGGTCGACTGTAATTGTATTTTTGTACTCTTCACTTGCCATTTATTTTTATAACAATTACAATAATCTGCATTATTGGAGCTTACGTTAACTCCAATAAATCAAATTGTTGTTGGCATATATTTTTTAATGAACTTGTATTAATCATCTATAAATAAAATATATATGTATATAAATAAAATTTTCTTGAAATGATAATCAGCTAAAGGAAACAAATATTTTATTTTTTATTTTAATTCTTAAAATTATGTTTAGTTGATTTACAATCCTAAAAATCTAAATTTTAAAGTAAGTTTTGTTAAAATATTGTTTTAAGCATTGTAAATTTTAATATGATAAAAAGAAATATTTAATATTCACCTGAAAAGTGCAGCATTACAGATTACAACATTAAATTTAGCTTAAGATAATTAAACTTTTACATTGATTAAATTATTGTGCTAGATTTTTTTTCTTTGATGTAGTTAAGACTGTATTTGGAAACATTGCAGTTGATTTTTTATGAAAAAGAAATTCATATTAAAAAAATAAATGTAATGTCCTTTGTTTTTCCTTGTTATTTTACAGATTAACTTGAATGTTTGATTTATGTTTTTATTAAAGTTCTAATATTATAAAATAAATTATATACAAAATAATAATTTTATAAAATATTATCTAAAATGGTAATATATTTAGAAAAACATACTATGCAGGTCTTTTATGCAAATGAAAAAGTAATACTTTTCATTTGCATATGTATTTCAATGGGAGAGTATGAGATAGCAATCTATCTGCATTTTCCAAAGTTTAAATTGCTTTATTAAATATTTTTTATTCTAATGTGGAACATGGAATAAATACTATATGGAGATGAAATTCTCACAGACCCAAGTGCTTAGAAAACTTAACAAATGCCTTCTTATGATTGAGAATGAAACAAAGTTAATGATGTCATCCACCCTTAAACCAGTTGTTACATTTAGTATAAGCCAGACGTGTCAGTAAAGTTAAAATAATTATTTTTGCCTTATACTGTATTATTGTTGGCATTAATATAAAATTAAAGAAAAGTCAAGACTTTATTTAAATTTAATTATTTACATGAATATTTTAATTTTATAAATATTAAATTTATAATGTATTGTTTCGAAATTAAAAAGTCTGAAATAATTTTATATATAAAATATTTGTTATAGATATCAAGTAAATTTATATTATGTACATTAAAATTATAACTATTGAAATAAAATTTCAATAGAATTA